TCTAAATGACTAGCAAAGTGAGTCCTAACTTTAGTGTGAATGATGCTCTACGAAAACAAACTTTGGGGAACTTTATTAAGGATTTGAAAGCAGTTTGCAGAATGAGAGTAGCTCCAACCTGCTACATTGCGGAGAGGATACACTGCCAGCCCTTCTGAGCCCTGTCCCCGCGCCCGTGGAGTGAAGAACACCAGAAATCCCTGCCCTGAATATCAGGCCCTTAGGGACGGCTCTCTGAGACACTACATAACTATTCACGTCTAGCCGGATGCCCTTCCACCTCAGTATTACTTCTTCCTGTTCTCTGAACTTGCTGTGCATCTAAGATGTTCCCAAACGCTCTAGAAATTCTTACCACCTTTTTTGTCACTGCTTCCACATTTGGCTTTAAATGCAAAACAGGGACCAATTCGTATAGTTTTTTTTTTTTTTTAAACAGTATATTTGCTCTAGCTTTTTCCTTAATAGCTAGTTGTTTTCAGACTCCTCTTCATGAGGCATTATCAACCTTCAGAGAACATATAATATCATAAGAGTGAATGGGAAAGCAGCAACTAAATTAGTTTTTATTGAAAAAAAGCAGGAAGTCTCGAGGAAGAATCATAGATAATTAGGCATTTTTGTTAAAGTTTTCTTTTGTTTTGTGGCAGTTAGCCTTCTAAGTAAATGTTAAAATTTCATACAGCATGGATATTTCAACAGGAATGCTAGATAGCCAGAATAATTATAATACAAAAAAATGTTTGTAAAGGTTATAAATAAAAACCTAGAAAAAATTACTTCAGAATTTAAGCCATATTGTCTTATTTTGGAGTTTTTCTTTTGCAGGGGTGGAGGATCCTACATTTGCCCTCTGGAAGTTTCTTACTCTTTCCCTCTTTCCCCAAAGTATTAAATACTGCCAACTGACACTATATTGAATCACTCGTTGGTCTGATGGGTAATCTAGATTCAAGTAGACTTTTGACTTTTTCTGGAATCTGAGTCACTAGTGACCTTTCTGTAACGTTCTCATAAAATTAGTTACACAGAAGTCAATACTATATTCATGTTTTAGAAATTTGAGTGGAACGCTCAGAATCTGGGCTAGTACCATTAAAGAAAGTACTGTTATTTCATTGAAATAATGTTGAACATGAAAATCAAAGTTTTAGTCTTCAGTGCAATTGTTTATTTTACCCTGTAGCAGATTTCTGGCATCTCAGCGTAACTGGCAGTCTCTGTTGTACACAACCTCAGACTAAAACGCTATAGTGATATAAATCTGGAGTATTACATCTTTATCAAGAGTTAATGAATAAGATGGACTGCAAAGTACTTTTTCTCTTTTGGAAGGTCTAACTTCTCTTTAGTAAGCAATAAATATATGCATGTTATGGTTAATGTCCTATTCACACTGGCTGTATTTGTATCTTTGAATTGGCAGGCTCATTTATGAGGCTGGAAAAAACTGTGATATCGAGCATCTGTCTGGATGCAGAGGTCTTTTGACAGAGGATATTCAGCACTGGTAAACCGATTTGTGAATTTGCATGGGATAAAAATGGAGGCAGAAATAAACTCCTGAAATTGAATCTCAGTCCAAGAATGATGGCTCCTCAGCTGTATACACATGCTTTCAATATCTCTCCAGCAGAAAGTAGGAGATTGTGTATAAATGGAACACCATGGATTTGGCATCTCCTAGAAGAATGTGTCGAGAACGCGTGGGAGTGTTGGAGCGTTGTCATAGGACTGATTGCCATTGTCTGTTTTCTGTTTGCTGCACTACCGTAAGTTTAAAGTCTTAAGCAGTCTTCAGATTCAAACATGAGTAATCTTGCCTGAAGCCTTTTTCAAAAGCTGCCTGTTTTTGGTTTATCTTGGCTATGTTTCTCTATCTGCATAATACAGATATAATATGCCAGAGAAGCATGTTGTTCATGTTTAGAACAATATTTGGTGGTTGACAAATGAGCTTGATGTACTATTCTGTTGTACTGACTTGACACTAATCTCTGCCACTTAGAGCAAATGAGAATAAATCACCTCTTCTTTCTTATCTCCCCCACCCTCAGATGTGAGCGCACACGCAGGCACGCTTGCAGCGCAGACTGGCTCGCTGTTTATTTGAACTACATGCTATGTCACCAGTCCTGTTGTGCTGGCTCCTGCCAATGAAATCAGGACTGAGCCAGGGCACTTTGGCGGTGCTCAATCAGGTCTCTTTGGCGGTGCTAAATCAGGTTCTCTTTGGTGCGTTGGCACTGGGTTCAGATTTTAAATATGTAGGTAGGGGATGGCAGAAGAAAAATAAAAATGCTCTCATCAGGTGAAAATGCCTGAAACAAAACGGGGATTGACTCCAAAGTCTGTCCACACAGGCAGAGTAT